GAATGTAATGTTAACTACTGAATCAAATTTATCTGACCTAATTAGCAACTCAACTAGAATCTCTAGACTAAATTTAAATTGAAGTCAATTCGTTATAATATATTTACTACATTAAAAATAGGTTGTTAATTTTATATGTTCGTTTCATTTGCCCCCCTTCCGAGAGTCCTGGAAAGCGATGTTTACCGAAAAATTAACTTCAAACGGCCTTATCAGAAACGGAGTGTAACGTTATCTAAAGAGTGAGATGGTGTGCATAAATACATCTGATTGGTCATGACATTTTGTATAATCGGTGATACGCACATTTGAACACTAAGATATCGATATAAATTAAAAATTTAATCTTTAGCATGTTTGTCTGTGACACAGTTCTTTTATACAATATTTATTTTGTATCATGCCTCATATTGAAATGCCTTAATATTATAGCGAAGAAGAAGCAATAAAATATTATAATGCTTGAATTCTTTTACAATAACATACACTATTTCAATTAAGCAATTATAAAGATTCATTTAGTCAAACCGAAAGTTCAATATCAAATAAAATGCAGATCTTTTTTTATTTCATAAATATTTTTTTCAGTGCATATTTCTATTTTTATCGCGAGTCAAAGATTAATACAAAGATTATTTTTAGTGTATTTTGAATAATTCATATTGCACGTGCGAATTGGATAGATTATCAAAAGAAAAACCAATAGATTAGGAGATGGAGTTTTTAGACTGCTGAATGATTTTATAATACAAACTTTTTCATCCTAACACTAATCATAAATAAAATTAACCATACCAGAAACGAATATTATCTTTATTAATGAAAAAAAAGGTTAAAATCAATAAATTACAATCCATCACGAGTGCCCTACATCTTTGCTAATCATTTTTTCATGTAAAAATAAGGTACAACTTAATTTATTTCAAATTACTAATTTACTTTAATATTAAAAATGTGTGTTTAATGGCTATGAGAGTAAATCTGATTATCCTCCAAGGCGTATAAATCGTCAGTGATGGTCATAAATTTGAATATTTTTATGCCATCTTCAAATTCGTACAGCAAATCTATGTACGGTATGGTTTTCAAAATAAGTATAGAAATTACAGAAGATCTGGATAGTTGATTGACCAAATTATATGGTAAGAGGTGTAAATCCTATTTTAAAAATTATATTATACTAACCTGATACTGAACTCGTTTATCAATATTGTATAAAGTAAATCAAAAAAAAAAAAAAAATAGACATTACCTTATTTTCAACCGTACGTAGGGAAATATGCCGTAGATCTTGGTCATATAAGGGCCGCTGTTCGAAAAATTAACAGTACGTATTAAGCATTTTTTATTATTAACAAGTTTGACTAATTATAATTCTAACCTAAAATTTTAAACCACTTAATATTAGATACTTTCCCGTTCCTGGTTTTGCACGATGATGTCGCGCAACTATCTTATAAAGAACTGTTGGAATGAATGATCATCCTAAAACCATCCATAAAGAGCTGTTAGAGAACTTTCAATCCTAACCCTAACACTAGTAATGATATCATAATGATATCATTGAGTTCCTTGTTCTTCAAACCGCAAAAGTCGGACCTGCTCATAATTGGACCATAATTAATTGACCTGCACGTTATTTCGAAATAAGAGAGGATTTCTAAATTCAATGCAGCCAACCTCCAATAAATTCACGTTGTTGGGTAGAGCCTATTTATAGAATACTCATTTATGGAGAATTATATACATATAATATTAAATAATTACATCATACAGATCAAATTATGTGCAACCTATATTGCAAATATTATAAACGTTAATAGACTTTACCATTGCTGCACTTTCTTAATCGATCAATGCATTTTTTTCTTTCTTATTGGTGCCAAATTTTTCAGTATGCGAACTAAACAAATCTCTATGATTGTTCAGTTAAAATAGCATATGTTATCTTAAAGAGTTCGAACATCTATAGTACTTTATTGTTTGTCTTTGTTATTTTATTAATTATATACATGTTAATCTGATTCGTAATATAGACTTCTCTCAAATATGTAAAAGACAACAAATTTAAAAGAGCTGCGCCATAGACCGACAGACAGTCGAAGCTCAAAATTTTAATATATAGATAATATCTTTTCATCTACATCGATTATTGGATGAATTATTATTAATTAAGATATTTAATATAACTATATATTAATTACAGAATTAAGATATTTAATATAACTATATATTAATTAAGATCTTTAGTAAAGTTCGTTTAATTTTTCTTATTCGTTTTGATTTAATCTGGTAAAAAAGATCAGTTTTATATGCGCTGATATTGTCATCTTACCGATTTTTTTAAAAAAAGAAATCCATGCAAATTTTAGGATTGGTTAGATAATTGGAATTTTTTAAAACGGGAGCAGATTTAGAAATAAAGTGTAGATTTACACAAATTAATTCTACTCAAAATCTAATTGAATTATAGTGCTTTTCAAATTACTGTGTCCACTGATTTTCATACATCACGTTGGAAATCAGAAATCTAGAATAAATGCAAATCTATGATTGGTTAAAAATAATTTTTAGCCAATCACGTATTGGTATTTATTATAGATTTCTGATTTCAGCGTGATGGAAAATCAGTGGATATAGTAATTTAAAAAGCGCGAAAAATCATCTTAACCATTATCTAGATATGATCATCAATGGGAAAATGTTATATATTTGCATTAATTAAATAATTTTAATTCTCAAGTTCTTTTATCCTAATCCTATCTAACTTAAATTTAAAACCTTTCTTTGAAACATAGCAAAGATGAAATCTACCTTGACTATTATTCTTTTTTTTCTTTTCATGACTGTAGTAGTTTATTCTAAAATTGTCAACCAAATAAACACAATAGATGCTGTACCTTTACCGCTTGTAATTGCAAAGGATAAACACGACCCAACTAATTATATAGTTAAAAGTCAATGGTTTGGCTTGGGTCATAATAGTGATGGTACGTAAAAAAAAAGTATGACGGCTGTTGCTGAAATTTGGTGTTCTCATTTAATCCTACAGTATAATATTCTTTTTTAACAACTTTAATTCTAAAAAAGATAAAATTTTATGATTAAAATTTTCAGATTAAATTTTTAGCATTATCACCTTCATCATTAGCTGTTATAATACATGTATATATATACCTGATTTTATATGATTCATTAATAGTGTTTATAAATTTATTTTTTTAGATAAAATCACGCATATACTTACATGCAAAGATAAAAGTGTAAAGGTTAAACATACCCATCAGGTAAAAATAATTAATTTGTTATAGGGATTTTAACAAACCAATCTGCTTTATTTTGGTCTACCCTTGTCTCAACCTATTATGATTCATAGTCTTAAAAATTTTGTTAGTTCAGACCAATCCGGACTGAATTGATCTTAAGACTTAGAGAAGAATAATTTATTCAGTTTCAGATTGGTTTTTAAGATTAATTGTAGTCTATTAATCTAGCTAGACAAATAACATCCTTAATTTATTTTTTTAAAATTAACTTTCTAATCTGAAATTCATTTTTAAATAAATTTTTAGGTAAAAAATTTCTCTGATTATGAAGCTCACTATGAGATTAAAGTTCCTAAACATATGGACACAGTGCTATGTGAAAGAGTAATGAAAGGATTTGATAATGAATTTCTTGGATATTCTTCATTCAGTTTCAAACATACGAGTTAAAAACCGTAAAATTTTAATTGCAAACCTTATTATATTATTAATTCACTGTAGGTTTCTTGCTTTTTTTAAAATTTATTGTATAAAGATTTGCTTGTTATTCAATAGATATTTTATAAAAAAGTTATAAGGCATCTACAATGAAAATATTTCTATATAAGTTTTTTATACTTAGTAGATTATAAAGTTGATTTAGATTAAATTAAAGATTAATGAGTAGTTTATTAATAAAGTTGGCCTTTACATTAATATGTATTTAGAAGATTTAAAAGAAATATAAGAAGCTATGTAATACAAAATTGGAACTACCTAAAATTTTTTTGCTCATTTAATTGTTTAACGTTTAATTATGTATTTACATTTTTATACTACCAATAGTACATTTAGCAAATGCTTTATAAAATTTAAAAAATTAATTTTAAAATATCTTTGCATATAAAAATCTGATAAATGCTATTATTACAGAAATTCATTTTCGATTTTGTTAGATCGATACTAGTTTTTTTTCCCGTGAGCCCTGTGATAACAATAAGAGAATCACTTCAACTTCGCCATATTTCGCAAGACTTATTTTAGAATCCATATATTTCCCTTTCATTGATAAAGAATTTACACAAATACGATAAATATAAAGGACTCTCAGACTAAAAAAAAAATTATGCCTGACGAAAGGTTTCGTCATAGTTTCGTCTGACGAAACCTGGCTGACGATTGACGAAACCACGACGATTGACGAAACTACGACAATTGACGAAAAAAGCTATGCCAAGTTTTTTTTTTAAACTTTGAGCAAAAATATCTCGATAACCACCAAATTAATTTCGATAAACTTTTTTCTTTATTTGAATTCTACGAATCTGAAGAATTCAGATAAAAATAAAGTTCATCGAATTTGGCTTAGTGGTTGTCAAGATATCATCGCTTAAAGTTCGAAAAATTTTGGTGCAGCCTTTATTGATAAACGTTATGAATTTTTTAAACCTTTGAGCAACGATATTTCGACAATCATAAAGTCAATTTTAATGAATTTTTTTTTTATTTGAATTCTACAGGTTCGTAAAATGCAAATAAAATAAAATAAAAATCACGAATATAGTTGCTCAAAATTATAAAAGATTCAAAACATCTATTAAAATAAAGGCTGCGTCAAAATTTTTTTAAACTTTGAGTAACAATATCTCGATAACCATCAATAAAGTTTATCGAATTTGGCATGGTAGATGTCGAAATATCTTCGTTCAAAGTCTGAAAAAAATGTTTGGCGCAGCCTTTATTTTGAATTTTTTTAAACTTTGAGAAATAATATCTCAACAACCACCAAGCCAAATATTTTTTTATTTAAATACTACGAATCTGTAGTATTCAAATAAAAAAATTTATTGAAATTGATTTTGTAGTTATCAAAATATCGTCACTCAAAGTTAAAAAAAAAAATTAAATTTCAGGGTATGAATTTTTTCATTTTTTTTTTTTTTAATACATCTTCATTTTAAATATTTTAAACATTTATAGTATGTATCGCGTTATTTTGTGCCGGCCAAAAATTTTATTATCGAACTACAAAATTCATCACGTATCCCAAAAAAGCTGTAATAAAATTTTATGTAGTTTTTTTGTTTACATTGTTTTGTAACTCACAATAAAAATTATAATTTTATGCAAGCTTACTCTCCTTAATCACATAGAAATTAAGACGATTTCAGGTACAAACTATCTCAACCTTAACCAATACTGTGGTTACCAAAATAGCAAGTTTTGTACAGAATTTTTACCGTATCTCATAGTAGAATTACAATAATTCTAATATGATAACTTCAAGCTTAACCGCATACTATAGTCACCGAAATAACAAGTAAGCTCTGTAACAAAATTCTTATAGTAACTCATAATAGAAATTACGATAACTCTAATACAAACGTAACCACATAGAAATCAAGTCAATTCCAGTACAAATTAACTTCGCCAGAATAGCGAGTAGTTCAATAACAGAATTTTTAATGTATCATAATAGAAATCATGAAATTCTCTTGCAAACTCATATGACTTTAACCACATATTGCGATCACTGGAATAGCAAGTAAGTTCTATAAAAGAATGTTTTACTGTAACTCATTATAAAAAATTGTGACAATATCAATACAAACTAACTCCAACCATTTCATTTGTATTGCATTATCGCTCTTTTTAATTTAACAAGCGAATGGACTAAATAAAATATTCAAATCTTTTCATCAAAATCATGCTTTGCAGCATATAGACATTATACCTGATAAATTTCCTTAAAAGTATTATTAGAAGCTCTCTAATTTAGATCAAACTTTCAGCATTGCTGTGTAAGTGAAACGTATGATTATTTTGAAATCAAAAATGTGATCTCTAAAGGACGCCCCACTTACACTTGTAAATTCTAAAATTATACAAACCATTAATATATATATACAATTTCAAAAGTATAAAGATTCGAATAATATAGCATAATAATTGGATTCATTAATTGTATAGCTTTATAGTAACATTTAAATTAAATAAAAAAAAATTTTATTGTATAACTTTATAATGGCATTTAAGTAATAAACCAATTATTTGTAAACCAATAATTATTGACAATAGTTTTATTAAAATAAATATTTCAAAAATCTAAACACAAATATTATATAAGTGATAGAATTGCTTGTATTAAACTACTTAATATAATACTTACCAAGAGGAATTTCATCAGAACCTATAGGTTTACTTGTCAAAGTTGCTAATACAGTATAATTAATTTATTAAAAAAATAAATAAATAATTCAATATAATTTTAAATAATTTTTAAAATATGTACCTGATATTTTCTGAGTGTTAATAATTTTGCTAGTATACATAAAATCAGGATGTTTTTGCGAAATAGTTGGCAACTCTTTGATTATTTTATCTGCAGTTAAGAATTGCCTTTTAATTTCATCTGTATCATCCGAACTTTTCATGCTTACATTCCATTTTTCAAGCTCTTTTCTAATATTATAAGCAATAGGCCGTTTTTGTGGATCAGAATCCATACATTGTTTAGCCAATTCAATGTAACAGTCTGGAGTTCCAGGAGCAAATTCAGGTCGCAATCCATTGTTAATAATGTTAAATGCAAGACCTTCATTAAATAGATAACCATCAAAAGGTCTTTGTCCAGTTGACATCTCTGTCATTATAACACCAAAACCATAAATATCAGCGGCTTTTGTAAACTTTTGACCCGATAAGACCTCTGGAGCGACATACGGCATAACTCCATAAATACAATCTTTTGAATCATCTTCACCATACTTTTTAGACAAACCCATATCTGAAATGTAAGATTGTATTACATTGCTAAAACCTTTATCTTGCAGAATATTGCCACTGTGGAAATCTGCATGAATATACCCTGCAACATGAATATTAAATAAATCTTTTGAAATATCGTAAAGTAGCTTTAATTTAGTCTGCCAGGTAATTTCTCGAAAATTTTTTCTTAAAAAACTATAAAGGCTTCCATTATCTGCGAATTGAAATACCATCAAGTATTCATTTGTTTTTGTATTTTGAGTCAATCCATATATTTTAAGCTTACTACCAAAAAAACTACATTTCGTGAGACTTTCAAGCTTTATAAATTTATATAAATTAGTACACTTATACAATTATATACAACTATATAATAATGATTTAACTTACTTCTTTCAAAAAATCATAATTTTTTTTAGAACTAGATAAGGTCTTGAGAGCAACGATGCTAGATGGTTTGCGCGCTCTCTCATAAGTGTTTTCGATTTCTTTAATCTCTCGTATACCATCTAACCAGTAGGCAGAAAAGATAGAACCAAATCCTCCTTCACCGATTTTTTTAATATCAACCAGTCTATCAAATGAAATCCACTCAATCATATCCGCATAAGTACGAGTTCTAAGTTGTAATGCTTTCATGCAATCATCAATCTTTTTATTTCGACTTGTCCATCCTTGAATGGCTATGTCAGGATCGCATGTTTGACACCATGCTTCTCGCATATTATATTTATTACAATATGCACATTTTCCATATTTAGAATTTCTATAAGATAGTTATAAAATATTTATTTCATATCTCATATGATTTTAACCTCATATCGAATATAATTAATTTTTATGCTTACCGACTAAATTAATGCGAATAAATGGTTTATATGTAAAGGTAAATAAGTATTTATGTATTTTGTATTATGAATTTGTTGTGTTGTTTTTATTTCAATTGATTAATAAATGTTCTTTATACTCACTTACTGAATGATTAATGCGAATGAAATGATTTTAACCGTAAGCATTTATGTTCTTGATTTGTGAACTTGTTTTGCTGTTTTTAATTCCATTGATTAATAAACGTTATTTATACTCACTAACTAAATTTATATGAATAAAATGAAGTTAAGCGTAATGGTAAATAAGTATATGTTCTTGATTTGTGAACTCGTTTTGCCGTTTTTAATTCCATTGATTAATAAACGTTCTTTATAGTCACTAACTAAATTAATACGAATGAAGTTAAACGTAATGGTAAATAAGTATTTATGTTCGTGATTTGTGAACTTATTTTTGCTGTTTTTAATTCCATTGATTAATAAACGCTCTTTATACTCACCGCCTAATTAATGCGAATGAAATGAATTTAAACGCAATGGTAAATAAGTATTTATGTTCATTTTGCTTGCTGTTTTTAATTCCATTGATTAATAAATGTTCTTTATATTTACCGCCTAATTAATGCGAATGAAATGAATTTAAACGTAATGTTAAAATAAGTATTTATGCTCTTGTTTTTGAACTTGTTTTGCTGTTTTTAATTCCATTGATTAATAAATATTTTTTATACTTACGAGCTGAAAAAAATTATTAATGCGAATAAAATGAATTTAAACATTATGCCAAATAAGTATTTATGTTCATGATTTGTGAACTTGTTTTGCCGTTTTTAATTCCATTGACTAATAAATGTTCTTTATACTCACCGCCTA